GAGCTGAGGGACAGAGCCCAGGCCCAGAGTTCAGGCCCCACGACTGGACCAAAAAAAAAAAAAAAAAAGGTTTAGTCTTTTTAAAAAAATTTTTGGTCATGGTGCTTGAACTTGCAGCCTGGGTGCTTTCCCTGAGCCCCTTTGCTGAAGGCTAGCACTTGATCCCTTTGAGACACAGTGACACTTCTGGTTCAGTTTCCTGATGGTTAAATGGAGATAAGAGTTTCACAGACTTTGCTGCCTGGGCTGGCTTTGAACCTTGATCCTCACATCTCAGCCTCCTAAGTAGGTAGGAATGAGCCACCAGCACCTGGCTTTCTCTTAACCTTCTGTAAAATGTTTTGCTATTTTCTCTCTCCAAAATAAATATTTTTAAATTCCCCTATTTAAATATTCACTTAGCATCTCTGTGCAAGATATTCATAGAAACAAGACAAACACTTCTTCCAATGTTCTATAATGCTTAAATTTAAGGAGGGTTTAATTTTAAGTTGACTCTCTATGTTGTTGCTGTTTAAAATCCTTTCCTGCCGGGCGCCAGTGGCTCATGCCTGTAATCCTAGCTACTCAGGAGGCTGAGATCTGAGGATTGGGGTTCAAAGCCATCCTAGGCAGGAAAGACCGTGAGACTCCTATCCCCAATAAACACTAGAAAACCAGAAGTGGCGCTGTAGCACAAGTGATAGAGTGCATGCCTTGAGCTGAAGAGCTCAGGGGACAGCGTCTAGGCCCAGAGTTCAAGCCCCACAACTGACAAAAAAATAAAAATAAAATAAAATCTTTTCCTACTCTAAGGCTAAGAGGTGTAGCTCAGTGATAGAGTACTTTCCTAGCAAGCATGAGGCCCTGTGTTCAATCCCTAACACTAACATGAACAAAGTTTCCACTAAAACACACTAAACTGAAGGGCAAGAAACAATATAAATTTGGAAAATAACTATCACAGGATTGAAAAGAATATTTTAGAATCACAGCAATTCTACAAAGTCAATGCAAGCTTCATGACATTCTTTTGAAAGACACAAAAGCTAATCTATTACTGGGAAAACTATCCATATGAAAAAAAGTATTCTACCTAATAGCATAACAAAAATTAAATGAAGCTGGGAGCCGGTGGCTCATGCCTGTACTCCTAGCTATTCAGGAGGCTGAGTAGATCACAGTTTAAAGCCAACCCTGGCTTTAAACCACTAGAAAACCGAAGTGGTTGCCTTGAGCTACAGAACACAGGGAAAGTGCCTAGGCCCAGAGTTCAAGCTCCACAACCAAAAAAAAAAAAAATTAGGGCTGGGAAGGTGGCTCAGTGGTAGAGTGCTTGCCTTGCATGTATGAGGCCCTGGGTTCAATTCCTCAGCACAACATAAACAGAAAAAGCCAGAAGTAGCACTGTGGCTCAAGTGTTAGAGTGCTAGCCCTGAGCTGAAGAGCTGAGGGACAGTGCCCAGGCTCAGAGTTTAGGCCCCACCACTGACTAAATAAATAAATAAATGAAAAAAGCCTTTTATTAAAACTCTTAGAAGAAAATATATGGCAAAATTTCCTATCACTGGATTTGGCAAGGGGGTTATCAAGTATGATATCAAAAGCAAGAAAAGAAAAAAAAAATAGAAAATTAGAGCCAGGTACAAGTAGTTCATGTCTGTAATCCTAGCTACTCAGGAGGCTGAGATTTGAGGATCTCAATTTGAAATAAGCCCAGGCAGAAAAGTCTGTGAGACTCTTACCTCCAATTAATCAACAAATGGAGATGTGGCTTAAGAGGTAGTATGACTTGAGTGAAAAGCTAAAGGACAGTGCCCAGGCCCTGACTTCAAGCCCCAGTACCAGTACAAAAAGTAAACAAAAAAATCAACACCTTGGGCTGGGAATGTGGCTTAGTGGTAAAGTGTTTGCCTAGTATGCACAAAGCCCTGGGTTCGATTCCTCAGCACCACATAAACAGAAAAAGCCAGAAGTGGCACTGTGGCTCAGGTGGCAGATTGCTAGCTCTGAGCAAAAGCAGCTCAGGGACAGTGCCCAGGCCCTGAGTTTAAGCCCCAGGATTGGCAAAAAATAAAAATAAAAAAAAAAATCAACGGGAAAAAAAAAAAAAAAATCAACACCTCAATGCTAAAGTTGATTAACATCCAGCTGCAGGCAGGATCCAATAGGCTAGCAATTAGTGACCGCTGGCCTAAAATTTAAGGAAACAAATTTAAATTACATTACAAGCAGACTTATAGAATAATAGAGTTTTCTAATCTTCAAGGAGCTTTACAGATCCAGTTTAACTTTGTCATTCATAGATAAGAAAATTAAGACCAGAGAGTTTCAAACAATAAATAAATTTGGGCCTTGATCACTAGGGTAAACAAAGCTTTCTATGTTAAGCAATACTTTTCTAGTTCAATTATACCATCTACTTAAAATTCTCATTAAAAACAATTATAAAATTACAATGTTGCACTTAAACTCAGACCTTCAATATAATGTTTACTTTGCAAAACTGAAGGTAACCACAAAGGAGCATATATTTTAAAAACAGTAATGGGAAGGAAACAAGAGTTAAAGCAAATTACCCATGTGTAACAAATTGGGCACATTCTTCAATATTGCATCCAATTTCCATTTGAAGTCCTTATCATCTATATTTCCTTTGAAGGCTACAAAAATTGTGGAATCTTCCAAAATATTGTCACTTTTTGTGTCATCATCTTCTAGTCCAGAATCAAAATCCATCTCTGAGTCTTCCACTGTCGATGAACACAAGGAAGTATAGATGTCTTCTAAGTTTGGAAGGTCATCCAAAACCATGGTGCATATTATTCCAGAAGCATATGCAAAGTGGACAATGAAAGAACCTTTGAAAAGAGGAGAGGACGCAAAAACGTATTACAATGTATTATTATATATATTCATAATGTATAATCCATAGTTTCTGTGGAAACTAGCTTATTTGCTAAATAATAACACATTAAAAGTACTAGAAATTACAAAGAAACTAAATTATTTGCATCAAGTTATTCTATATAAGGGCCAGTTGTGCCTTTCACTTGTGTACAACACCCACCTGAATACAACACTAAATAAACAGTATGGTAAGAACCACAACAGGCTCAGCTACAACTAAAGAGCACAGTCCCTAGTCTTGGCAGATCCCAATACTAGAATCCACAAAAATATCAAAATATCAGAATCCACAAAGAAGTCTCTCCAACTCTTGTTTTGTGGGTTTTTTTTGGACGGTCATAGGGCTTGAACTCTGGTACTGGGCACTGTCCCTAAGTTCTTCAGCAAGGCTAGTGCTCTACCACTTTGAGCCACAGCACCACTTCTGAGGTTGTTGTTTTTTTGTTTTGTTTTTTTCCTTTTTTCTGGGGGTTAACTGGAGATAAGAGTCTCACAGACTTTCCTGCCTGGGCTGGCTTTGAACGTTATCCACAGATTTCAGCTTCATGAATAGCTAGGATTACAGTGTGAGCCACCAGTGCCTGGCCTCTGTCTTGTTTTTTACTATTACATTTTAAAATTGCTTGGGTGCTGTCCCTCAGTACTAGCCTCAAGGCTAGTATTCTACCACTTGAGCCACATTTCCACTTTTGGTTTTGGTTGTTTATTGGATATACAAGTCTTATTGACTTTCCTGCCTGGGTTGGCTATGAGCTTTGATCCTCAGAGCTCCTGAGTAGCTAGGATTACAGGTGTGAGCACCTGCCCCAGACAGTACTGCTTTTCTCAGAAAACACACACACAGACACACACACACAGACACACACACACACACACACAACCTATGAACACAGAATGATGGTGCATACCTATAATCCCAGAATTTGGGAGGCTGAGGGAGGCAAATATTGAGTTCAAGGCCAGCCTAGGCACCATACTACGGTTAAGGCAAGCATGGGTCACATAGGTCTTATTTCAAAAATTTTTTAAATTCTTCCTACCTTTTGTGTTTACTTAGCATTTTAATTTTGTAGCTGGATGTTTTAAATCTCTTGCTCTATTCATGATATTCTTTCTCCTCCCCTCTCACCCCCCACGTTGTACTGGAGCTTGAATTCAGGGCCTGGGCACTGTCCCTGAGCATTTTTGCTCAAGGCTAGCACTCTACCACTTGAGCCACACGGCTCCATTTCTGGCCTTTCTATAGGTTAATTGTAGATAAGAGTCTCACAGATTTTCCTCCCTGGGTTGGCTTCCAACCATGATCCTCAGATCTCAGACTCCTGAGTAGCTAGGATTACAGCAGTGACAGCACCTGACTTCTTTTAACCATGCTTCTTTGCTTGTTTTCTTGTCTCCTCCTTTCTTTCTCCTTCTTTCCTTCATTTCTTTCTTTCTCTCTTCCTTTTTTTCCTCTTTCTCCTTCCTTCCTCCTTTTCCCTTTCCCTTCCATGTCACATTCTTTATCCCATTCTTTTTTTTTTTTTGCCAATACTAGAGTTTGAGCTTAAGGCTTGCTTGGCTTATGCTCTACCACTTTTTGGAGATGAAATCTTTCAGACTTTCTGAGAAAGCTTCAAACCATGCTCCTTTGCATGTCAACCTTCCGAGTAGCTAAGATTACAGGTGTGAACTATTAGCACCTGATTCATTTCAGTCTTTTATTATTACTTTTGCTTTTATCAGTTTTTGGTGGCAGTGGGGATTGAATTCTGGACCTTGTTCTTTCTAGACTTTGCCCTCTACCACTTGAGCTCTTTACACAGACATCTTGCTTAAGTTTTTTTCAGATAGGTTCTTATGCTTTTGCCCTGGCCAGCCTTGGTCTACGATTCTTCTACCTCTACATCCTGATAAGCTGGTATTACAGACATGCACTACCATATTCAATCCTTCACTAATTTTAACTTCATGCTTTATCCTACATTATTTTGTCCTTTTCTTTTCTATGGTATTTTTTTTTGTATAGTTGTCTTTTTTGAACATACGTTGATTTTAACTTTCTTGCAAATATTGAAGGTGATTCCATAATGAACTTTTGAATGAACTTTATATTATACCCCTTCATTCTCTTCTCCCTGAAACATTTCACAAGTTTACATATCATCCTTATATAGAAGCCATGCACATCTTCTCTGTATTATTCCAATTTCAGTATATATATATATATATATATATATATATATATATATATATATATATATACACACACACACAGTAGTTGTCTTTATCTGGTTTTAGTGTTGTACCTGTTTTGTTTTCTCCTTTCTGAGCAATATTGGGGACTGGATCTTCGAAAGAAGCCTAATCAGTAAGAAGGCCCACATATAAAACAGATAAACAAGTTGCAGCACAAAAACATAAGAAATATGAGAAAGGCAAGGTGACTTCTCCAAAAGTTCATAGCTCTTCAATAACTGGCTCCAAAGATTATGAAATGACTGAAATGCTGGACATAGAATCCAATTAATAAATGGGTGAATCAACTGAACAAACAATTCTCAAAAGACTACAGAGATGGATAAAGAAAAGGTGTTATAAGGAAAAACAAAATTATAGTGTTTACAAGAAAAACAAACTGGAGCGTATTATATTAACCAAATAAACCAGACTCAGAAAAACACTGTTCCCCCACATATGCAGAATCTAGATTATAGAAACAAAAACAAAATGACATAAAAGTAGAGGCTGTAAAGAGAGGGAGTCAAACAGGGAGAAGAGAGGGAAAAGAGAGGATAATGGCAGGGCGGGGACAGTAAACAAAGCATGTTATATGTACATGCATGAAAATATCAGAATGAAGTCCACTATTATATATTAGTGAAAATGATGTGAAAAGCCCTATTCTACATTAAAAGAGATTTATAAGTTGGCTGCTGGTGGCTCAAACCTACAATCCCAGCTACTCAGAAGGCTGGATCTGAGGATCACAGTTTGAAACCATGCCAGGTAGGAAAGTCTGTGAGACTTTTATCTCCAAGTAACTACCAAAAAGCCAGAAGTGGAGCCATGGCTCAAGTGGTACAGCATTAGCCTTGAGCAAAAAAAGTCAGGGACAGCACCGAGGCCCTGAGTTCAAGCCTGAGTTAAAAAAAAATAGATTTACAAGACATCATTTTCAGAATTATCATCCTTCAGGTTCCTTTATGAAGCTTCTGTAGAGTCTCCTGTGCCAGCTTATAACCACAAGGACAGCCCCCAGATGAGGCCTGCCAGGATCAATTAGTACCTATACAAAGGCCACAGGGAGCCTAAGGTTTTTATGTTTTTTCCCTATCATGGGTCTTATATTCTGGGCCTGAGCGCTGTCCCTCAGCTCTTTAGCTCAAGGCGAGTGCTCTACCACTTCAGGCACAGTACCACTTCTGGTTTTCTGGTAGGGATAAGAGTTTCTCAGCCTTTCCTGCCCCGGTTGGCCTTGAACTGGGATCCTCAGATCTCAGCTGCCTGAGGAGCTAGGATTACAGGTGTGAGCCACCAGTGCCTGGCTGAAACCTGTTTTAAGATTAAAAAAATCTAATTTTGCTGAGCTTTATTTAGCTTACCACAAATCTAAACTTAGCATTAAACTGTGAGTGGTGTGGAGTTCACAACTTTTCACAATTATTTTTTTATTCCAGTGATACTGGGGATTGAATCAGGACCTGAGGGCCTCACTACTTGCTAACTAGGTATTCTACTACTTAAGCCACTCTATCAGCCCCATTATATATATAACCATTTAAAAATTATTATAAAAGTGATGTACAGAACAGTTGTTATATAAATAAAGTATATATTTCTTTTTTAACAATGTCATCCCTTCCCTCACTCATAACTATTAATTTTTAATTAAAAATGTTTTTGTAATTAAAGGTGTTTGATAGTAGTTTTTTTTTTGTTTGTTTTGCCAGTCTTGGGGCTTGAATTGAAGTGTTGTCCTTGAGTTTTTGTGCTCTAGGCTAGTGCTCTATCACTTGAACAACAACTCTACCTCTAGCTTTTCGTGTTAATTGGAGATAAAAGTCTTACTGACATTCCTGCCCTGGCTGTCTGCAAATCCTCAGATCCCAACTGCTATCCTTAGATCTCAGACTACTGAGTAACTAGAATTATAAGCCTAAATCTCCATCCAGTGCCCAGATTGAGAATAGTTTTACTCAATATAAATTTTAGTAATTATTCACTGTTCTTTTACTGTGTTATACAGGCAAACCTGAAACTACATTTAAAAGTCGATAGTAGAGGGCTAGGAAGGTAGCTCAGTGGTAGAGTGCTTGTCTTGCATGCATGAGGCCCTAGGTTCGATTCCTCAGCACAACATGAGCAGAAAAAGCCAGAAGTGGTGCTGTGGCTCAAGTGGTAGAGCACTAGCCTTGAGCTGAAGAGCTGAGGGACAGCGCCCAGGCCCAAAAAAGTCTATAGTAGAAACCCTATTTATTTACTTTTTTAGCCCTCCTCCCACCCACCGTTAGAAACCCTATTTAAAAAGAGGTAAGTAGTATTCATATTTTATTCAATAGCTCAAAAAAATAATTTTGGGGGATAGCCAGTACTGAGGTTTGAACTTGAGGCTTCTTGCCTGCTAGGCAGTCGATGGATGTACCACTTGAGGCACACCTCAATTTTAGCAGCTCTGCCAAAAGAAAGGGACTATCAGAAAAACCTGAAGGATAAACATTATTTTGGGGCCTTATCTACTCTTAGTTAAGTTTTCACTCACCAAAATGTGTTTCTTATTTTTTTATTAAGCACTTATCCAGGTGATCTTCTAAGTCCAAACAAGCTGGCATTTTGGGGGCTTGTATCTCAAAGTAGCAGCCAAATCAGAAATCTAGAAAAAGAAAGTGATAGAAAGAGAGGGAAGGGAGGGAGGGAGGCAAGAAAGGAGGAAGGAAAGGAAACAGCATTATAAAGAAATTAAAAGCTGACTTATCTTTGCAACAGAAGTCAATGCAAACCTCACACATTATCAAGTCAATTTTGCATGTAGAGAATGTTAAATAATTGTCATTAAGCTTACAGAAATACTTTTTTCTCAAGAACTTATGCCAGCTTCATGTTAAGAATCATGAAACTAGCCAGGCATTAGTGGCTCCAAACCTGTAATCCTAGCTACTCAGGAGGTTGAGATCTTGAGGATCAGCCAGCCTGGGAAGCAAAGTCTATGAGACTCTTTTTTTTTTTTTTTTGGTCGGCCGTGGGACTTGAACTCTGGGCCTGGGCGCTGTCCCTCAGCTCTTCAGCTCAAGGCGAGCACTCTACCACTTGAGCTACAGCGCCACTTCCAGTTTTCTGGTGGTTTATTGGAGATAGGAGTCTCACAGACTCTCCTGCCCGGGCTGGCTTTGAACCGCGATCCTCAGATCTCAGCCTCCTGAATAGCTAGGATTACAGGCGTGAGCCACCAGCGCCCGGCATCTATGAGACTCTTATATCCAATTTGCCACCAGAAAACTGGAAGTGGAGCTGTGGCTCAAAGTGGTAGAGTGCTAGCCTTGAGCAAAAAAGCTCAAGGGCAGCCCCCAGCCCCTGAGTTCAAGCTCCAGGGCTGACAAAAAAGAAAAAAAAGACATGATTTAGGGCTTCCAGCCATAACAGCATTCACTATACCTACACTCTTAATTTGTCAAATGTGAAAAAATTAACATCATGTACACTGCCACACATTTTTAGTTTAAGTTCTAAAACATTCCTCATGATAGGATATATATAGAAGTTATGGACAGAAAAATGCATCATTTTTGCATACTTCAAAAAAATCAACTAAGCCGAGCACCAGTAGCTCATGCCTGTAATCCTAGCTACTCAGGAGGCTGAGATCTGAGGATCTCGGTTCAAAGCCAGCCCGGGCAGGAAAGGCCCTGAAACTCTTATCTCCAATAAACTATCAGAAAACGGGAAGTAACTCAAGTGGTGGAGCGCTAACCTTGAGCTGAAGAGCTGAGGGACAGTGCCCAGGCCCAGAGTTCAAGCCCCATGACTGACAAAAAAAAAAAAAAATAAATAAATAAATAAAAATCAACTAACAAGATCAGACTACAACATCTTTAAGCCAAGTGTTATAATTTTACATTGATGCCAAGTATTGATTTTATAATGTTGAAATTACAAGTATATATTAGTAGTTAATAATGGGAAAACTATCACTTAATTATTTTTAATTCAAAAATGGAACTTATTAAGGAAAGTTATATAGAAAATCTTAAAAACCTAGGGCAATGAACTGATGAAAAAACATTGAAATTATAATTCAAAATAAAATCAAGAAACAAAGACCTTTTTCCATCTTAAAGTAACAGCAGAACCTTTGGACTCAGGTTAAACAAATACAAATCAGAACTGTAAAATTTCTAGAAAACTATAAGGAAATACAATTATGAATCTAGGAATATAGTCATACCAGTGCATAAGAAAATTCAGTCATAAAATACTTATGTGGAGATGTAGGGGGAAATGACTTAAATATCTGATTTAAAAAACAACAGGGGTTGGGAATGTGGCTTAATGGTAGAGTGCTTATCTAACATGTGTGAAGTCCTGGGTTTCCTTAATACCACATAAACAGAAAAAGCTGGAAGTGGTGCTGTGGCTCTAGTGGTAGAGTGTTAGCCTTGAGCAAAAGAAGCCCAGGAATCGTGTCCAGGCCCCGAGTTCAAGCCCCAGGCCAGGCAAAAAACAACAACAACAACAAAAGCAACAACAACAACCAATAAGCCAGTTGTGGTGGCTCACCTCTCTAATTCTAGCTACTTGGGAGGCTAAAATGAAGAGGCTAGCCTGGGTAAAAAAGTTCAAGAGATTCCATTTCAACCAATAAAAAACTAAGTGCAGTGGTCTGCACTGTCATCCCAGCTACATGGTAAGTTTACATAGGAGGACTGCAGCTTAGGCTGGCCAGGGCATAAGATTCTATGCAAGTAATAATGAAAATAAAAGGGCTTAGAAGGCATGGCTCAAATGGGGGAAGTGCCTGCCTAGCAAGTAAGGACCTTAATTCAAACACTACTATTACCAAAAACAAAAAGGGAGAGCAAAAATAAAAGATAAAATTAACTGAAAGGAAAATGAAAGCTGGGCACCAGTATCTTACACCTATAGTCCTATTCAGTGGCTGAGATCCAAAGGATTGTGGTTTGAAGCCAGTGTAGGCAACAGTCTGAAAGATTCCAGCTTCAAAATAACCAGCAAAAAAGC